GAATGTTTACTGCAATAATTTTTACTCTAATAAAAAATTTGTTGTTAATTTTTTTTTACGTTACCTACTTTTTCGCTGTTTCATGACAGAAACAATTTTTGAATAATAAAAAAGTATCCACTATAACTTAAAACAATTGGTCTGCTAAGCTGACTTTATCAAGTAACATAAACAAAAATTCAATTTCATTTTCTTGCTATTACATCACATTGTAAACTGCCATTGCGGCGCGGCAGCAGTGGTGGTGGTATTGGCAAGCTCATCAAGGCACTAATTTTTACTTAGTAGGTATACCCATCTGCAACACAACCCAGTTAACTTTTCATTTAATACAAGCTACGTTAAGAATCAAATTCTGGTCTGATTTAAGCTTATGTAATATAATAAACACGTACCTAAATCAACATAAAACTACAACAATATATGTTTTTTATGCTGCTCTATACACGTCTAACTCGTGCTAAGTGCTTTTGACAGTACTGACGTTAAACCTATTGATTCAGTCTCACCTTCTACTGTACACCTTAGGTAGTAGATACAAAAATATTAAAGAAGATTCAACGTGATCCCACCCCAGACTCTATCTGCTTATAACAACTAAAAACATACAAAAAGCAATAGAAAGTTCAAATTCTTAGGTTTTATCGTTAATGAAGGACAATACAACAAAGAAAATTTTAAAAATTATGAAAAATTTACTGTGAAGAGTGTTTTGCCATTATACTGTAGAGCGCTGCTAAATTGTCGAGTTGCGAACAAAGTGCTCTTGAAAATTTCATTAAAAACTACATAAAAACTTACATTTCTAAAGCAGTTGTGTGATTGATTTGTACATAAAGGGCTAAAAATAAACCACAAGTGTTATTTCCGTGAAATACGAAGTGAAATATAGTTAAAAGTGTAAAGTATCTCCAGTGGAAAATAACCTTGATTTATAGTGATCTTAGGGTCGTATTCCAGAACTCTACTCAATGCTCAAGTCAGGATTTGAGCAGACTTGAGTATGATTTCAAGTACTGGGAATACGACCCTAATGGCAAGGATTTGTGTATGATTTCCAGTGCTTAAAATCATACTCAGATCCTGACTTGAGCATTGAGTAGAGTTCTGGAATACGAGCCTAGAACCCTACTCAATGCTCAAGTCAGGATCTGAATATGATTTCAAGCACCGGAAATACGACCGTAATGGCAGGGACTTGAGTATGATTTCGAGTGCTTTAAACCACACTCAAATCCTGACTTGAGCATTGAGTAGAGTTCTAGAATACGACCCTCAATCTACCCTCAATAATCAATCATATTTATTTTGCTGTGTCAAACTCAAAAAGTCAGGATGACTTTAGTGGTGTTACCAACTTAAAAACCATGAATTCTACCAATAGCCCAAGTTTGGTAGCAGAAAAAACTACCAAATATTTTCAACAAACATTTCATCCAAGTATGTTTGACGTCAAATACCAAAGTGACGCGCAGGTTAATCCGAAACACCCCTGACAAAGACTACCTTTATCCCAGTCTCCTAATCAAGTCTCTGTGAACAAAGAAACAAACTTAAAGCGAATACGTTTACCCGATGAGAAGGAATCTCACCCAAAAATGCCGAAACGGGCCGAGAATAAAGACGAAAAACAAACAGACTCACATATAAAATCGTGAAACCGTCCACGTTTGTTACCCAGCCAAGGGTTGAAACCTCGAATAGCTTCTTTGGACTAGAAGTTAATGCTGAGTCTGACATTGAGGACCTCACACCAAAAGAAAAAACCATCCAAACCACCACCAATAGTTTTGTATGGTAATAAAGATCTGCAAAAATTAAAAGAACTGTTGGATAAGAAAGTGGGTAAAGAAAAATATACTTTCAATACTGTCTCCAAAAATCAGTTGGTAATTCACGTAAAAAATACAGAAACGTACAAAACTATGATAGAACATATAAGAGATCAAGGTGTAATAGGCCATATATACACGCAAAAAAAATGGAAGACGTCCGAGAATTGTAATAAAACATCTCCATTTTAGCCAACAATACACCAATTCCAACAAATTTGCAAAAAAAATTGCACGTGAGAGCTCCATGTCTGATTTCGAGCTGCACAGGGAACATGTTAAGATATTACCTGCCATAAATAGGGTCAAGAGCATGTTAAGCTTGTCACTCGCTTTAAATTCAAGTTTTTATCGTTTACTACAAGAACTATCCAAGTGACAAGCTTGATGTGGTCTGCAGTGGTCATGCTTGTGTGTACTTTGCCTAAAAAGAGTTCCTTCTTGTGTACTAGAGATTCGCCAAAAATAAATAAAATTAAAACAATGAGGTAGATTGTAAGTGCATAAAACGCGCCAACTTTCCCGAGACGAGTATATCCTACGAGTGGATACTTAAGTCGAGAGTAAAATGGGTTTTATGAACGAGTTATACACTCTGCTTTTCACTTCGATTGCGAGAAAATTAAATAGCAATATTGCAAATAAACGATTATTTAATTAGAATTGAACGTAAAATTACAGCAATTAGACATATTCAGTGATGGTATTTTATTTTATGCACTAGAACATAAAATCCTATATTTTATACAGCCTACACCCAGCATAAATACGAACTTTATGAGCATGACAAGTGAAAAACAATTTTTTTCTTATTTCTCTTGGCTTTTCACGGTAAGCGTTTTAGCCACTCTAGACATTAAAAGTGAAAAACCGATACTACGAATACATCTTACGTCAAGGGTAAAAAGAAAACATATCGCCGGGTTGCCAAAACAATGTATTATCTCTAAACATCGAGATAATAATATATAACACAATACAATGTTCTGACAAATGGGCGACATATCTTGAAAATATCCAACCTCACTCACCTCACTCATGATGATTAAAGGTTTAGAGCATACAACACATAGGAGAACTGTTATAATAAGCTCACTTTCAAAACCAGCGAGCGCATCCACCATGAGTCGATTCAAAAGTGATAGCGAAATACACGTGAGAAACGAATCCTAGGTAACAATTTTGACGTTGCGGTACTATATACAAAATGTACCGAAAAGAGATAGCTACATTACTAATGTCGTACTAATGTGTATATCTTGTATTTTTAGTTTGTGGTGTATAGTGCTTGCTCCCTTACATTTTGCGTATCCATAATTTAATTCACAAAGTACTTTGAATTCAATGCCTTAACCCTAAGTAATCTGTGCCTTATGCTTTTTTTTAAAAAAAGCGCTAAGTTACGTAATAAATTTACTTTAAAAAAGTTTACTTTCTTTTTTTTGGGTTCGCTCTGGGCATTTTGGAGGGAAAAGTGTCTTTTTTTATTTTGACTTTCAATTATTTTATGAAATCTAGTTTATAGTGGAATAGGATAGTTTTTTTTTTAAATTTATTAAGGCTTTGGCAAAGCCATCAGTGTAAACATGAAGTTTAATTATGTTTCTGTAAATATAGCCGCCACAAAGAGGATAGGCAATTTGAGGCGGCGTGCTTGGATTGACTCGGGATTCCTTAAAACGGGCCGCTACGGGTATTCTAGTTCGAGATTCGTATAATTTCGCGTTTTAATCTGCGATTAAGGCACGATAGCACTATCCTATTCCACTTTAAACTAGATTTCACAAAATAATTGAAAGTCAAAATAAAAACGTAACTTTTCCCTCCAAAAGGTCCAGAGCGAATCGAATAGGATAGTGCTATTGTACGTTAACCGAAGATTAAAACGCGAAATTATACGAATCTCGAACTAAAATACCCGTACCGGCCCATTCTAAGGAATCCCGAGTCAATCGAAGCACGCCGCCTCAAATTACCTATCCTCTTTGCGGCGGCGGCCATATGTACAGAAACAATTAAACTTCATGTTTAGGCTTATGGTTTTGCCAAAGCCTTAATAAATTTAAAAAAAAATTATTTTCCTTGAATTCTAAGTTTTGTAGCTCTTCATAGTTTTTTATCTCGAATTCAGAATTCACCGTTAAACTTAGTTGAATCCAGTATATTATTTTACTACCACTGTAATTACAAAGCATCAATTATTTGTGGGCCAGTTCTCAAAACGCAAAAGGTTGTTTTTGTTTCTCATAATTAATTTTCTTGGACTCAATTTTAGACGTTAACCAAAATGTAATGTATTCTAACTAATAACCAGGCTTTCAAGTAAGCTAAAAGCTGACGAAAGGTTTAATTATTAGTAGTATATAGTGGGTACATACTAGTTATTTAAAAAAAGTATTTTTTGTTATACTTAATTTGATGATTTTCTATTTATTTTCAGATGCAATTGACATCAGATCCTCGTCGCGCGGATCGCGAGCGTCGTTTTAAACCGCCGCCACCAACATCTGCTCCAGCCGAGGACCTCACAACAGACTACATGAACATTTTAGGTAGGTATGTTTGGATACACCTAAATTCCTCCATTTTATCTTCCCTAATTGGTTCCTTTACAACAGGATTTCCCAAAGTGGGGTGCGTGAACCCCCAAGCGTTCACCAGTTAATCGTAGGGGATTCGTGACAATGCAACATTATTTGTGTTGTGGCAGTTAACTGGCTAGCTCGTATGTCCGATATACATGATGAAGACAGGAAGAATATCCTGAATTCTCACAGAATTGGTACAATGGTCCTTCTCCCTTTTGTGACAACTTACCTATGTGAGAGTAGGTTTTCACACCTGGTCACAATAAAAACAAGATACACAAATCGACTCAAAGCTGGATCAGAATTAGGACTGAAAACAATCAAATAAATTTTATTTAATTAAATGATAATAAGCTCAAATATCTGTTCTTTCAAAATGTAGTGAAATTTAGCTACAAAAGGAATTTGCATTATATTCATATTCATTTATTGCATGTTAAAACTCTGATAACCAGTAATAACAATAGGCTGGTTTTGATAATTCAACTATGACATATATCTATTTTCATTGTATAGGGTCACTTTTATTAGCATAAACAACCTTAATTATGACTGTTTTCAGGGATGGTATTCTCAATGTGTGGACTAATGATGAGACTTAAATGGTGCGCATGGACAGCTGTCTTCTGTTCTAGCATTAGTTTTGCTAATTCTAGAGTTTCTGATGACACTAAACAGGTAAGTAATTCTAAAAATAAAGTTATACACAATTTTGATTTTTTTTCAACACTGCTGTACTAAACACACCTGGCGCAGCTTTGAACCCGCTTGGAGCACCTTTGAATTAATTAATTTAAATGAAAATGACTTATTTATTGCCAATAATTTTTATTACACTTGTTATCAAAAATGTTTGCAATATAATATGTAGTTCTTAAATCTGTTTAGTTAAATATATAATCACTGAACTATTACAAAAAAAATGTTTAGACGGAACCAAAACGCAAATAAAGTTTGACTTATTAACTGTAATATAAAAATAAATAAAATCTAAACTTCTTAAGTAATTAATTGGTAGATAGGAAATGAAACTATTTTTCCGGATTTAAATCGCGTATATTTGTTTTTTCAAACAAAGTGACGTTTCGGGCCCTTTACAGGTCCCATGGTCACGGTTGACTGAGGTGGTACAGTCTTCAACCAGTTATGTCTAATATTGATGGAAACCACCCTATTTTTTCACTATAGTTACAATAGTTATTAATTAAATACCTTATTTTTAATTTTACAAAGATCACATTCCAATTTACACTACATTAAGTGTTACAAATTATTTTATTGAATGAATTTTTATTAAGTTCAATTTATTATGAATTATTAATAGAAATTAGAATAAACTAAAACATATTAATTAGTACTGCAGTCTTATGTCTGTTTGAGATTTTTCATTAGAGGAAATACTGGATCCCAAACTGGTAGTACAGAGAAACCATCTTCTCTGGCCTCTCGCGGCATCCTGGTTAGATAACAGACTCTTGCAAGGACCTGGGGTTTGTCAAACTTCATTGAATGTGTAGGTTTAACCATGACATGCTCGCGCGAGCATTTGCCATTGAAATTAAAATTGGTCATTGAAATTAAAAAACATCCTAATTTCAACAGGGAAGATGGTTTCTCCTTAAATAAAGTCATGACCATAGTGAAGAAAACCCCAAATAATTTGGATAAATGTTGTTGTCGATTGGGCCAGAGTGGCAGACTGTGGCCTAATCCATCGCCGACGAGGAGACCCGTGCCCAACCGTGTGACGTGTAAATGAGTTGATGATGATGATGTCGATTACAGCTTTACAACGACGAGGCATTGATTCTATCAATTTTTTACATGTTTCATTCATTCATATAAATCTCCAAGATTCTATAAAAGCGTAGTACCTAAAGTTCGTTGACATTAGTGATATGTGTTTATGCGACAATGTTATTGTACATATAGTTAATATACAATTTTTTTATTAGATTTCAGTCCAGGCTATTGGCATGCCACTCCGGGCGGCGTCGTGGTGAATGTTCACTGATCCCACGGCGCCGACTCAACCGGCGAGAGGGAAACCCGGGGGGGTTTTAGTGGGGTAGGCCCTCAAGTCTGGAGGGAGAGTCCCCACATAACCCCTGAGTCTCCCTGGGCTCAGGGGTATCCATAAAGATTTCCCCCCCTACAAAAAAAAAAAAAAAAGGCCACTCTAACACTGTCATCGATTTTTGTCTGAGAAACGCTTTAACACTGTGTGCTGTATGCTTTGGGTCATTATCGTTCTGAAATATCCAAGTCACTGGCAAATATTCATCGGAACATGGGATACTGATCCATCAGGCATTCAATCTTTCACACGAGACCAATCCCGTTTCCCGAAAAACATCCCCACACTTTAACATTTCTACCTTGTCATTCAAAATCTCGTTTATTGGCCTTTGTACATATCGTTTTCCGTCGGAATTTACAAAATTTATTTTAGTTTCATCTGTAAATAAAACTTTTTTTCCAATTATGAACTGCCTATATTTGCGTGCACATATTTGCGTGCGTTGTCTGCCAAGAAGACAAGACTTTCCTGGCAACCCTTCCAAATAATTTCCTTCAACCAGCCGACTACGGACTAGTCTAGAAACGTGTCCACGTTTCGAATGTAGTCATTTTTTTTAGTAAAGAAGGAGGCAAACGAGCAGACGAGCCACTGGATGGGAGATGGTCATTGTCGCCTGCAATGGACATTTGCAACATCAGATGAGCTGCCTATGCGTTGCCAGCCTTTAAAGAGCCCTGCACACACGCTTTTTGAAGACCCCATGTCATAGCGCAAAGGAAACACTTCAGGTGGAAGATCATTCCACATCTTGCAGGTTCGAGGAAGGAACGAACGAGATGCCCGCGTGGACTTACAATGCCAGGCATCATCTAAGATGTGGGGATAGACTCTACTCCTTTGGCGGGAAGTGCGATGGTAGAAACGAGACGGTAGCACTAGTTCGAAAAGTTCCTCAGAGCACTCCCCATTATAAAGACGATACAACACACACAGAGAGCCAATCTCTCGGTAGGCTAAGAGGCTCCATACCATCTGCGAGTTTGGGATCATCGACAATACGAACAGCTCTACGTTGGATGGAGTCAAATGGGTCAAGGTGTTATTTTGGAGCTCCTGCCCAGAGATGCGAGCAATACTCCATATGACAGGTCGTACGTGTGTTTTATAACTAAAGTCGGTGACCACTTGTGACACCTTTTAGAAGCCAGTTTGGCTTTTCTCTCCTAATGATCCCGGAACTGGACTTCGTCCATAATGTCGACTCCTAATATCCCAATACTCTTAGAGATAATAAGGGCAGTGTTCTGGAACTTAAGCGTTATAAATGGGTATTTTTTCGTCTTGTGAAAATACCTCTTTTCTAATAACATTAGAACCTTTAAAGGGGTCCGTCTTAGTTAAACGAATCATAAGCTTGTCTTCTTGAATAGTTGAGAATAGTTGTCGTCCTTGGCCGACCTGTTCTTGTCACGTTATTCGATGTTCCATGCTTTGTGAAATGTGCAGTGGCGTTAGATACCATCTTTTCGGAACACTCTAAATGATCGATTTTTCTTGTTACTGCAGCACATGCATAATATGACGACCTTGCGAAAAATGTATTTTAGTTTTAAAATTCAAGTTTCGAACGTAAGTCATACTTTTAATGTTAGTTACACATTGACCTAGGTCAATTTAGTTACATTAAGGGTCTTATTCTAGAACTCTACTCAATCCTCAAGTCAGGATTTGAGTATGGTTTAAAGCACTCGGAATTATACTCAAGTCCCTTCCATTAGGGTCGTATTTCCAGTGCTTGTGTTTCCAGTGCAATCCTGACTTGAGCATTGGGTACAGTTCTAGAATACGACCCGAAAAGACTACCAAGTGACTAAGGGTCGTATTCCAAAACTCTACTCAATGCTCAAGTCGGGACCTGAGCAGACTTGAGTATGATTTCAAGCACTGGAAATTCGACCCTAATGGCAAGGACTCAAGTATGATTTTCAATGCATTAAATCATACTTAAGTCCTGACTTGAGTATGATTTAAAGCATTGCTCAAGTCAGGATCTGAGTATGATTTCAACCACTGGAAATACGACCCTAAGGGCAGGGACTTGAGTATGATGTCGAGTGCTTTAAACCATACGCAAGTCCTGACTTGAGCATTGAGTAGAGTTCTGGAATATGATCCTCAGTGTTTCTAATTATATGACCACCACTGTATGTATATGAATAAATATTGATTTCGATACTAGTAGGCCAACTGTCAAAATAAGTATAAAGATGGCAATAACGCAATCAGTAATCATTACAACGTCTATCGTAACATTCACAATTCAGACATTTTTAGTAAAACGTTTCCTTATTTCATTTAAAATTTCACGAAAACTGGCATGTCATTTTACTGTCTTCAAAAAAGACAGACCATAGCAATAAAACAATCCACACGACAAGCAAAGTTCAACTCACCATTATCTTATCTATATTCTTCCTGTAATATCCTTACAACTGTGTGGAGCTCTATTAGCAACCTATTATACGTCACACTGCTGGGCACGAGTCTCCTCTCTGGCGAAGGTTTAGGCCATAGACCGCCACGCTTCCCCAATGCGGGTTGGGATTTCACACTTTTTCCGAAAGTTGTGAACCTACTTCGATATCTATATATAAATCTGCAATTTCATCACAACGTTTTCCTCACCGAAAAGCTCATGGTAATTTCAAATTCAATTTCGCACATAAATTCCTAGAAACTCAGAAGTGCGAGCCCGAATTCGAACCCAGGACCTCTGCTCAGAGGCGGTATATCAAACCATAAGAGCGCATTTATTCGACACGAATGTCATCGCGCTCACCCCGCACGGTAGCCGCGCAGCGACCGCGTTCATCTAACTGTTATGGCAAAATAATCACTATTTATTTAGCTTTTACGTGTTAACTTAAATGAGCGTCTCGGGCTTGCGGGCCAGGCGGGTTTGGTCTTTGATCTACGCGGCGGCCGCGCGGTTGTATTATTCTGAGGAATTTAAATGTTGTTGCCTAGTAAATAGAATTCAAAAAGCGTGGTAACTGGGCGGACATCGCGTGGCGGCCGGCGGCCGCGATGGAACTTTCGCATCGTGTATTTAAAAAACGGTCTTTTTTAATGATAATATTATATAATTTTTATTTTTCTGTTCCTTTGTGATCTCGCGTTCTTTACTTCACAGCTGGTTCAAGTCTTTGGTCTTTTTCCACAGTTGCATATTAATGTTCCTATGAGCAGGCGTACGAGGTCCCTGATTTTATTTCAAATCTGAATCGATCCGATCAGGTAGCCCATCCGCAATATTATACACCTCGACTCGGTAAAGACGTAGTTTCCGATCGGGAGAGGCAATCAAGTTGTACTTGTTGAGGTGGAGCTCGGTGTTGCCATATCATAAACATAATTCCTACTAAATTTCCATTCAAACTGACTGCGCAAGCGTTTTGTTCTAAGTTGCCCCTGTTCAAAGGTGCTTCCTTCTACCCTACATTTGAATGCTGTATGTGGATCCTGGCTACTTATGAGTACGTAGAATGCATTAGATATTATTCCTGTTTGCAACCCATTTTCATATCACCATTATAACGTTTTTTATGGTAGAAAATTAAATATGTTTTTTTAAGTTTCAATTTCTTTCCAGATTGTGAGCTCCTTCATGCTATCGATATCTGCAGTGGTCATGTCCTATTTACAAAATCCTGCGCCCATGTCACCACCTTGGGCTGCCCTTACTACTTAAATTATATATATATTACTGATGTTAATTTATGTATAAAGCAATTGCAATAAAAGTTTTATCTTTGTCATTGATATATTTATTGAAATTTAACCTATTTTATATCCTTAATTTAGATTAGATAGTTGCGTGTGGCTACTGTTGGGTAATTTCTCGAAAAATTTCATATTAGTGGAAACTTTTCCGTCAAAATTTCTAAAAAATAATAATTAGAAAAATGCTTTCATATTCGGAGGCTCATATTATGTTCTACGTTTAGAAATGTCTTTTTAAGTTTTATTTAGAGTGAATTATAAAATAAAAATACAGAGAAAAACGATATTTAATAATTAGATAACAGCGAAAAAAAGAATCCTAAATAAAAAAGAAATAATTTCTCCATCGCTTTCGTGTACAGGAAAAATATTTCTTTTTCTGAAAACTATGAATTTTTGCACTATCCCAACCTTAGGCTATGGAAACTAAAGGACATGTTACGTTGACATATATAAATCAGACGTTATATGTAAAGTCCATTTCACGAAAGAAGTCCCGCGGACAATTGTGGAACTAAATTTGACAGATGGGGAGATCGGCCATGTTGTCGTTTGTCGATGTTATCAAGGTGTGTTTGTTGTGGTAGACATTTAGTGAGTTTATTATTGGATTAGTGCGTTATGAGGTTTATTTACGATGCCAAAAGTTGTAAAAAGTGCAGGTCGAGAAATGATATTAAAGGTGAAGGAGTTCTGTGAAGCGGAACATAAGAATCACGGTGTTTTAATACCAATAAACAATGTTCGCAAAAGAGTCGCCGCCATGACAGGTAAATTTTGGGGCTGCCATATACAGATTTTTTCCCGATTGATTTACGGATTGGAATTAAGTTTTTTTTAATGCACGATTTTTATTAAGGAAAATTTGAAAAGGAATTAACACAACACAACAAAAATTTGTAAAGTTATATTCAACAATAATGTAATTAAACACGAAAATAATCATTGTTTGAATTTTTTTTTTAATTGTTCATTTTATTGCAGGTGTGTCAGAGAAAACTGTAACGAGAGTTACAAAAGAAGGCGCAACAGCGGCGAGTACTTCTAAAATTATCGTCACCCCAGGGAAGAGCCGCCCGCATCCCAAAAAGATCGACTTGGATGGATTTGATTTGTGCGCTATTCGTCAAAAAATTCACAGTTTTTATGTTGTGAAGAAGGAATTACCTACATTGCCTAAATTACGTGCAGCTTTGAGAGAAGACATAAATTATCAAGGAAGCATCACAACATTGCACCGTATATTGCATAGCATGGGTTTCAAGCATAAGCGATGCCAATCGAAACGTAAATTACTAATGGAACGTTATGATATTACTGCATGGCGTTCAAGATATTTGGAGAGAATACGAAGAAATCGCAATGTGGAGAAAAAACCTGTAGTATATTTAGACGAGACCTATATACACAACACTTATCATGCCAAAAGTTGCTGGCAAAGTGAGGAGGAGCCTGGGATGTTCGTGTCAGAGTCATCGGGGAGTCGTTGGATAATTGCTCATGCGGGAACTGAAAATGGTTTTGTTAATGGTGCATTGTTAATGTTCAAATCCCAATCCAAATCCTCAGATTACCATGATGACATGAACTCGACTAATTTTTTGAAATGGATGAGTGAAAAAGTCATTCCTAACCTACCTGAAAGGTCACTTGTGGTAATGGACAACGCTCCGTATCACTGCACTCAAATAAATAAAGCACCTACAATGTCAAGTATTAAACGTGACATGCAGGAATGGCTGCGAGAAAAGGGAGTATATTTTGAAGATACTTGGACAAAAGCTGTATTATTTGAATTAATTAAACAAAACAAGGGTCCACCTACATATGCCGTGGATGCATTATTAAAATCTCACAATCATGAATTGCTAAGATTGCCGCCTTACCACTGCGATCTCAATCCGATCGAAAAAATGTGGAGCCTTGTAAAGAGACGGGTAGCGGATAAAAACGTGGGCCAAGATCCAAAAGAAATTGTACGCCTAACAGAAGAGGCTTTTGAGACAGTTACAGCGGAAGATTGGGCAGTTCAATGTAAACATGTACAGCATTTGGAGGAAGAATATTTAAAAAATGATGGTCTTATGGATGAAGAAATGGATCGATTTATTATATCCACGGCTAGTGATAGTGAAACAGAATCTGATTCTGTTTCTATTCACTCTTCTGACAGTGATCATGATCATAATTATTCAATAAAAATTTGAATAAAAGTTTTAAATGTTATTTTATTTTCTAATTTAAAGTTGGTCGAATATCTCCATTTTATATTTTAGAAATTACAGGAAGATTTATTTTTCACTAATCTGACCTTAGCAGTATGGATATCAAATAGGTACTTATTTTAAAAATACATTCTATTAAAAACATTTTTTTTTAACTATTCGAGTACTCAGTTAATAAAATGAAAGTAAATGAACTATAAATTATTTCCCCTGATTTCCCCATATTTAACCGTGGCAACATTATGTCGCGCGAATACAGCGTTGCGTCTGCGGGACTTCTTTCGTGAAATGGACTTTATATGATGCATTTCGACGTCGAAAACATAAACATGTCATTGTGTTTGTTTAACTATTACGTGCCGTCTTAAGCCAAAAGAGATAGCATTATATTGGTCTGTGTCCAACACGGGAATCGAAAATACTTACATCATTTTAAATGCCAACCGTGTCCATTTCGCAGTACATGAGGTACATGATACCGTTGTCAAAGGGAAGTACATCAAATGTGAAAACGAATGTACTATTGAATTATTCGCATGTATTATAATTAAATTGGACAAACATCTTGACAGTAACAATAATTAGGTATTAATAAAAATGCGACGCTACAGCATTAAGGGATGTGGCTTTAGAAAAAGTGCAAATCAATCGAATGTTACATTGCACATGCATGTGTTATTTTTTTGTCTATAAATCACACAATAGCCCAAATATTTCATGTAATTGACTTATTTAAGTAGTTTATTTATAAATCTTGCCAAATTTTGCTTTTTTTACTTTAGATTGCCTGTTTGTTTGTATATTTTGATGACTGTTGTTAACGATTATTTTGAGATAGTGTTGATCTTGTAAGCATACATATTATTGATATTCTGTTATTAAAACAATTCACTACGAGGTTTTTATTATTATGATTTTTATTATTTCAAGTTTTCCTACAAATGAAAATAGGAAGAAAGAATGGTTGGAAATCATAGGACTGCTGAATATAAACGTTGGATCAAAGACGATCTTCATTTGTTCGCTTCATTTTGAAGAGTCAAAATTTAACAGAACTTTGAATGTAACTAGATTACATGACAATGCTATTCCATCATAAGGTTTATTGGTAAATAATTTTATGTTCAATTTAGATTAAACAAGACTCATTTACTAGTTATTCTCAAAATTATCCACTCGTTTCTGATTTTACCCAATGACAACTCTAACTATTAAAAATGACTATTTTTTTAAAGCCTGCAATACAATGACATGTTAGTCCAACGTTGCCGGGTAAAGGCCAATACCAACGTATAGACAGCCTATTTGCCTTGCCTTGCCATCGTTCGGTGTCACTCGCCTAGCTGACCGAGTGAAGGCGAGCGCCAACGTGTATAGAGTTTTTAGAGTGTATAGAGTTCATCATCGAGTTCAGGCTTGTCACAAATCAAAGGCGCTCGGCCAATAGTGTTCACACGTTTGTCCGTCAGCATATGAAAAATAAATTATAAAATAAGTTTAAAAATATGTGTTGACGTTTATAATAATATACCACTCCAGAGTAAATTGTTAGACTTGTGTTTGTTTAGGCATACTTTGGTTACAGTAAACTAAAGAAACAAAAAAAAACAGTTTCAACATTCAAGCCATACATTTGCATGTCGATAATGACTTATCGAAAGATTATGGTACAACACTAAAGAAATCCGCCATTTGTAACTTTCAAACTTTGGTTTGAATTTTGATTAACTGCCTCCGTGGCCGAACGGTTACCATGCCGGACTGCCACGCAGAGGTCCCAGGTTCGATTCCCGGGCCGAGAGAAATAGTTGTATGGCCTACAATTATTTCTCTCGTGAGTTTGGGTGTAATTTGTGATTGTCTATGTGTCCATGGCACCCGCGACACAGGGTTGCCCTAGTGCGGGGCTATGTTGAGTGTGTGCGTTATAAAAAAAAAAAGATTGTTGATTCACGTTGATTCTGTAGTTAGGGCAGCTCCTTTCTTTTATTTTTTTTCCATCCTCTAAGATCCCAACGCAATGTGTGGCCAACACAAACGAGAATAGGGTTTGATCAAAATTTTTCAGTGTCTTAGAATGCGCATGCGTTCAATGGTCTTTATTTTTTTTAATAACTCCTGATGGTTCGCAGAAACATGATTGTGTAAGACGATTTTTTCGGAAAGAGTAATTTTGCGTAAATATGGCTCCGTTGCGGTCTTAGAGGATGGAAAAAATAAGGTTGCGGTCGTATCGTTTTAGCACACACTTTACTATTAGCACAAGCACTGTACAGTTCTAGAATGCGACCCGAAAAGACTACCAAGTGACTAAGGGTCGTATTCCAGAACTCTACTCAATGCTCAAGTCAGGACCTGAGCAGACTTGAGTATGATTTCAAGCACTGGAAATTCGACCCTAATGGCAAGGACTCAAGTATGATTTTCAATGCATTCAATCATACTTAAGTCCTGACTTGAGTATGATTTAAAGCATTGCTCAAGTCAGGATCTGAGTATGATTTCAACCACTGGAAATACGACCCTAATGGCAGGGACTTGAGTATGATTTCGAGTGCTTTAAACCATACTCAAATCCTGACTTGAGCATTGAGTAGAGTTCTAGAATATGACCCTAAGACTATTTTTGCCATCCTCTATGGTTTTAGGCGACGATTTACAGAGTTCTAAATGTTAAATGTCTTCGTAAGCGCGTACCCAAATGTCATGTCAAGAAAATTGACGTTACGATAACATAAATGACACATATCGATAAAGGCAATTTATTGTCTTTGGATCTATGTGTCGTGCACATAGCACGCCTTTCACGGTATTTTGGGATTCATTCGAAAAAATATCGCTGTAAAAACAGAAACAGACTGAGTACCAAACATTGTCCCTTGGTCTAAAAATAGTAGTCCTAATTCCGGCCTTTTTACGATAGAACGACAGGTAAGTTCAGAGTAAACTGTGTAGCAGTGGAGGTTATGTATGATTATTTGCAGCTGTTGTCTTAATTTTTCCTTACCTACTTAAACTTACAACCCTCTCATATGAGGAGAGTTATGACTAGCAACAGGAGGCATGGATGATTGATTGAAAGCTCAGACTATTTCAACAGGCGTTGAACTATTCTAGGCGAGGAACATACTACTTTTTCAGTTACATTAAAATGTTTGTTATTTTGTTACATTAATACTCACAAAATTAAAAAAAGTATATTGTGTCCATTTATTTTATAACATTGGCGAAAAACTTGATGCTTGAACGTATATGAAATGAATAATTCTAAAATTTTAGGATGCCACCTAAAAAGGTAGAAGAGCCGGAAAAGAAGCCACTGATAGGACGAGTGGGCACAAACTTGAAAGTGGGCATAGTTGGAGTGCCTAATGTTGGCAAATCCACATTTTTCAATGTGCTCACCAAAAGCCAAGCTGCAGCTGAAAACTTTCCTTTCTGCACCATAGATCCTAATGAAAATAAGTATTTTTATATTTTTATTTTTATTGGCACAGGAACTGAGCCATATTGGTAGTCTATATTTCTTTCATAATGACATATTGATTGTTGATTTGGATTAGTTTACATTTCATGCAATATGTACTATTTCATGTTGGCTGTTGTTGGCATCAAATTGTCAAGACAATTGGAAGTAAAAAATGCATGTCAATTTTATTTGACAACATTGTCATTAGTACAAATAATACATCTTGAATTTTTTTTATATATTGTTTATAATCATGTTTGCATATGGACACTATAAGTATAACATTGATGTTGACAACAAATATGATGTTAAAAATCGATTAATTACCAAGCGTGCTATATGCACTCTGAGCCACCTTGACATACTAAACAAGTGGAAGATAGAGGAAAAAGAAAATTATGGCCAGCATTTATCAGCTGCTGTTGTTGGTCTCAGGAATTCAAATCTTCCTTTTCATTTCGATTCAGATCTTCCTATACATTATTCTAATGTCCCACACAACAAGTGGACTGACATAGATGACTATGCAAGATTTGCATTGGGTAAACCAACATGTTATCTAATTTTGGGTAAACCTGGAAATGGAGCTTACAAGCTTGGTGAAGCTATGGCTGAAGAGCTTAATTGTATTCATTTGTGCCCTATGAATTTATTGGATGATGAAATAGGACAAAATAGCTTAACTGGACAAGCTCTAGATTTTAACATGAAGCATTACAAAGTATGTAAATATAATACACTACTAAAAATATTAAAGAAGAAAGTCATGTCTCCAGTAGTGAGAAACAGAGGATATGTAGTATCTGGATTCCCCCTAGTTGGCACCAGTCGAAAAATGCACTGTTTCTTTAATAAATTACATGGTGAAGAAGCTGTATTAGAAGCGAAAAATTGGGTCGATGAACTCATAGTTAACCTTAAAAAGAAGAAAAAGGAAAAGCCTTCCGAGCTTACAGCATCACAGTTAGAGTTAAAATTACCAATGGAAGAGGAATTTGGTGAGGAAGAAGAAGAAGAAGAGCATCAACAAGAAGAGGAAGAAGCTGATGAAGAAGAAGTAGACTTACCTGTTGAATTACCTCAATACATTTTGGATAACTGTAGTGACATTATTACTTCTATACGGGCTTATTGTGATGCAAAAAAGACTGTGCTCGTACGACAATGTAATGAACTGTTTAAACTGGCAATGAAACCAGATATTCTTATATACATCACTTGTCCTGATGAAGACTTACTTATTAAAAAAAATCATAAGTATCTAGATTACAAAACTGGCTCGAACACCATTGATCCATTTCTTGAAAGTCTTAAGGAAGATAATATCAGATGGCCACCTAAATATTCTTTGAATGGATACAAAACCCCTTCTGAGGAAGTTGTAAATCCCAAATATTATTGCAGACAGCCATTTAACTTTAGAGATCAAGCTGTTGAACTACTGTGTACTTACAGAACAATTATTATGCCGTTTTTGGACAAAAAGATAAATGATATAAATCCCACATACCTTATTAAATTAGATGGTCGAACTTCACTTCCCCATATGATGATGCAAATCTTAGAAAGATTGCAAGTGATTAATATAGTTAATCCTGTACTTATACCACAGCCTTTAAGTATTGATGAGCCGCCTGAAGAAATTGAGGAGTTTTGGGAAAATGTAGAGCAGACAGAAATAATTGAAAGTAGCGATATAAAGTTTAATTATTATCAATCTCTGTGGTACAACAGATGTCCCGTGGAGCTAAAAAAACGACATACAGTTAGAGGAAAACTTAAATATGCAGTTAAACTGTTCAAACATGTTTATTTGCTTTCTTCACTAGATGCACTTGTAATGTTTTGGAAAAATCCACGACCATTCTTAGATACAACCTATTTAGAACCGATTTGTAGGATTGTAGTGACAGGTACAAAATCTTCTGGTAAAAGTATGGTTTGTAACTGCCTTTCGTGGCTTTTTGATGTTCCTATCATTGACTACAATGATCTGGTGCAAAAGGAAACGAAAAAAAAGTCTGAAATGTTTTTTGCTACTATATTGTCAGAAATAATTGCTACAATAGAGGATAGCAGATACGCAAATTGGCAAATTGCTGAAACTGAACGATTAGCTCTCCTTGATAATTGGATTGATATAACTATGACCACTTTAAAAAAATACATTAAATTATTAGAGGAATATGAAATTTTTAAAAACCAAAATGCTGATGCTGAACCGGATGCCAAATTTATGGAAATATTTAGTAATATGAAGCGCCAGCTACCAACTCTGCCATTTTTAGATGACCTGGAACATTGTACAACTGTGTTCGCGTCTAAGACAGTTAACAACTATGCTCCTCCGAACTTGGCAAGTGAAACGGAAAAACCAAAAATTCCCGTATTGGGTGATAAAGACGTAGAAGAAGCTATTAAGCGTTATATAGAGTCTAATGATTTACAGAAAGAAATGAGTGTAAAACCAGAAGATGTAATGAATACCATGATTAATATGTTATCCACTATTGATAGTAGCAGTCTAGAAGCGAATAACACCTATGGTAAGTTTATTATTGATGGTTTTACAACCGATCCTGATTATTGGGACTTACTGTTAGATGCCAAATTATTGCCTGATAATACAATAGCAATCATAGAAAACAGAGAAATAGACCGAGATCTGATTGAGCACTACGCGAAAATAGAACATATGATAAAAAATTACCAAGAACGCTTTCTGGCAGCTGATGACCCCCTTATAAAGTTAAAACAACAAGTAAAAACAGTATCTGAACCAAATTTATTGAATATTCAAATGATAGTACACGACATCATAAACACTATAGGTTATTCTACACCAGTTGAAGAAGAAGCTCAAAAGGATGAAACTGAATTAATTAATCAGTTTAATGAAGCTGTAGACCAATTTCGAGAAGGTTGGGATTCAGTAAAACTGAAGTTAGAAGAAAGTTTTAAATCTTTTATAGAAATTGAAGTCGAAGACAAAACAGACATAGCAATTATTGAAGAAGCGTTATTAAAATTACGAAGAAGTTATTGTCCGCCCTGTGAGGCTTCTGAAGATGATGGGGACGAAGATTTGGAAGAAGAAGAAGAAGCATACATCTCTAAAGACATGCTGAAGTACAATGACTCTAGTTTTCTATGTGAAACCAAGACTTATTGTCCTATAGCATACTATGATTATGGCGTTTTATGGGAAGGCAAGAAAGCATTCACCATCAAGTATAACAACAAAATGCATTATTTCTGTAAAGAGCAGAGTTTAGAAAAATTCAAAAAGGATCCTACCAGGTATGAATCATATGGTTACCCGTTTAAAAAAATACCACCTTTAAGAATCTGTGTCATAGGAGCTATCGGAAGTGGCAAGACATCAATTGCCAAACTTATTGCGAAAGAACTTGGTTTGGTACATATTGATTTTGCAGAAATTGTAAATGATTACTTAATGCCTAGACATTTCAAAAAGGTTGGTAGGCAACATGAAAATATTTTCACTGATGTACCTCTGGAGGAAGAGGCTGTGGTAGAATTTCAAATGGGAGAAGATGACGAGAATTTTACAGCTAATATTATGTCTAACGAAACTGAATTGCGACGTCTGTTATATAACTATTTTGAACGAGGAATGCCTGTTATGCCAGTGTTAATGCAAAAGTTACTAAAAAAAATATGGTTTGAAGACCCATTCGTGACGACTGGATTTGTATTGGACGGCTATCCGAAATTGCCTAGCGATATAGAAGACATGGAAGCATCATTTTGTATTCCTAACTTAATTTTAAACTTGGAAAGTAATTCTGAAATGTCATTAGAGCGCTTAACAACTTCAATGTTTGACACATGGAAAAAACAACAAGTCGAGGCTAAAAATATTGCTAGAAAAAAAATCGAGGCTCTGAAAAAAGAATGGTTGAATGATGTAGCCAAAAACGTTGTTACTAAAGTTATTTTTGATGAAATGATTACTAGTGCTATCAAAGCTGTAGAACCCCCAGAAATAATTAAGGACGAACAAAGTACTTTAATTAACGCGGATGAAGTGGGGCAAGACGATGACGATAATTTAATTGCTTACTATGACGAATTTATAGAGTCACATCCAGAACCAGTTGATGACCTTGAATGGGAAAAGTATACAGAAGCGCGCGAGAGAATTGAGGCTAGAATAGAAGCTATATTTGAAGGTGATGACGAAAATATACAGTCTTTAAAAGATAAAGCTATGGAAGAAAAAATTAAAATTGTATCTTTGGATGCAACGAAACCATTGTCAAAGGTTCAAAGACAAGCTTTATCTAAATTATCACGAGTAAGAAATATATGTGAATCGTTTTTCGAACAAACTATCATAATTAATATGGATGTTGCAAATAAATTAATAACAACTGGGTACTGTTTTCATAGTAAATTTAGACATATGTGCCCCGTGCATATTTACGAAAACCCCGATGCTATATATGATCCATTTAAAATAGCCAAACGCAATGGAGAGATATTTCCAGTTGTGCACAGAAATAATGTGTATTATATTTATGGCAAGGACTCATTAAAGAAATTTAGAACAAATCCCTTGAGGTATATTAAGAGTGACAACGTATTATTTTATCATTGTTTTCCTATGCGTATAGGTATCATTGGTGGACCAAAATCTGGTAAAAGTTCGTTAGCCGCAAAACTCGCAAAAAGATATGAATTAGTATGCGTATCGAAAGGTACAGCTATACGTAACATTTTGGAAAATATGCATTGGACCACACTAGCAATCAAAATGAAAAATATGCTCGAGTCTGGTGGGTGCATAGATAATGATCTTATAGTGCAAGCGGTTCAAACAGCATTAATCGATTACCGTACAATATTATCTGGTTTTGTATTTGACGGATTTCCAGATTCCGCTTCTGAAGCTAAGCAGCTAGCAAGGATAGGACTTTATCCTCTTGTTATATTCGATTTATCTACTGACAATAAAAGAACACTCATAAATAATTCCCAAAATGAGATATATTTTGATATACTGAAAAGATTGCCCCCATATTCCAGGCCTTATATGAATTTTAGATTATCGAAATGGAATAATCAGTGTCGCAGTGTTCGTGATTTTATTAATGATGACTATCAAAATCTTAAAATATTGAATGCAAATGAGTCTAAATGGCAATGTTTAAAGGATGCTACCGATCATATTAAAACATTAACTCCTAAAATCCATAATTATATAGCGAACATGGAGACAAGTATTGTATCTGCGGATGGAATGTGTATTTCGAGGGAAATATTTAAAAAAAGAATGTCTAAGTTTAAAAACTTATGTCCTGTGTGCTTCCGACAAAATATATTGAAACATAATGATTTTCCTGTGGATAGGAAAGGAATCGTTTTATATAATGACCTATTTTATTGGATATGCCCGGAACACATGGACTCCGTTTTGGATAGACCGCAGATATATTTGCAAAGTCAACGAGTAAATATCCCCGAGCTACCAATTCCAGTAAAAAATGTTAATTATGTACAAGTGTACGAAAATGGCATATGTATAGTAACGTATGCTGAAAATTTACCATCACAAATTTTTAAAAGTGGTAGTAACAAATACGCCGCCAGTTTTAAAAAAAAAGTTTATTTATTTTGTGACGCAAAATGTCTGGAGAAATTTATGTCGAGACCATACTTGTACCATGACATCCATGTCTTCAAAAAGGCGAATATATTGCCCCGTGTAACGTTGAAAGAGCTACCCAACATAGGCTATCTGGAGCAGACTGTGGGCAATATATTGACAAAAGCTTGCTGTGCTGTCAATGTGTTAAGACCGAAATATCCAGGCCTTAGCGTTGAACTTTCAGGCGCTCTCTTTATAGGCTTGTACTTAAAAGTTTATAATCCTTTAACAGGCAAAGCGCAATTGCCATATTTAAAAAAAGCTTTTCGAATTTACGAAGCGCGGTCGAAATTGATAATAAAAGTGGGTTTACGCTTGAGATCAATGGACAATCCATTTACGTCCTATCCGAAATGTTGTCACGAGAAGGATCTCAATTCAAGCGATACTGGTACTGTCATTAAACCTTCAACCACTAGATTTCATCCGCCCGCAAGTCAAACGGCGATTAATCTTAATTACAGACAAACAATGGATGAAGACGACTTTGACTATTACAGCCAAAGCGTTAACAATTTCGAGGATGACGATTGACTAATATTGTTGAAAATATATTGTAGCGTTAGTTACTAGCATAAATTCTTAATTTGCTTTCGTTTTTCAATTGGTATTTAATAGTTAGGGTGAATCCGTTAATATCAACATTTTGAGGTAAGACGACCGAATGTGTGAACATATACTCTACATAAAATAGTTGACCTGAGGAAGAAGTCTAAAATCTGTTTTTGTTTCAGCACGTAGGGTGCCTGTGCCAGATGAAAGGTATGAGTACCTTTGCGAGTACCATAAACCCGCCAGGTAAGCAACAAAAAGAAGCACAAGTCAGAATAGTGCTTGTACGTTAATTGTTATCATCGCACGTACGCACGATTACAGTACTCCTTACCTGAAAAATAAGTGTTTGACGAACGCGCATTCACGATGCCGTAGAGGCTCAAAACAGCAGATTGTTGCGTTTGTAATCGATTCAAACGCGATACGTAACGACGAGCGCGAGAAGCGCGTTCGAAGCTCGTCTGTAACGCGTTTTACGTGCGTTTGAATCGATTCAAACGCGCTCAAATTCGCGTTACAAGCAAGAAGCTTATATACTCCACTGGAGTTGACACTTAGAATTTCATGTAGTTGCTTCATTCCAAAAACTAACTGAAACCAAACGAAACTAAAATTAAAACTATCTCTTATCAAAATGCGTGTTACACACGCGCGACTACAGCGCACGCGCTCGTATTCGCGCAGGCGTCATCTGCGTTAACGGCGCCACTGAGTTTGAACGTGTGCAAAGGTTTGCTCGCTGCGACATGTATCATGTATCTTAAGACATCGACTTTACACGATACCTTAGAGAGCTAACAAAGAAATTATTGAAAACAAAATAAGCTAAATCTCACCGAAATTAAATGGCTGTTGTTACATAATGTAATCGATTCCAACATTGCTGCATACTCTAAAGTGGAATAAAATTTATATTTCAGTAAGGTGCCAGCTTTTTTGAACGTCGTGGACATCGCTGGATTGGTGCGCGGCGCAGCTGAAGGGCAAGGCCTCGGCAATGCATTTCTTTCTCATATTAAAGCTTGTGACGCCATTTTTCACCTATGCCGTAAGTTGATTTCACCGATTTCAAAAAAAGAAGTAGATTCCTAATTCGATAGTATGTTTTGGTTGTATATATATATATTATGCGATAATTCATCATTCATGCATTTGTGGCCTGATTTTGATGATTCTGTTTTGGTTGGAAAGAGGGTACCTCTGAAGTGGTCCAATTTAAATTTGAAGAAAGTATTCCATAAAGTAGTACCTCTAAGGGTGGCAAACTAGGGGAGTATGACTTTTGAGATCGGTTTTTTAGTGCTGTGTGTTGAGATTATACATAATATTTATGTACTTTATAAATAAATATGTGATCACTGTTTCTGTAGGTTTAGTAATTTTCGTTGTATTTAACATGTAAGTATAATAAACAAATATTAGACAACATCACATATGTTGTTACGACTCCAAAGTAAGTAACTATGTACTTATGTTATGGAAATCAGAAACAACGACGGTACCACAAACACCCAGACCCGAGACAGTATAGAAAATCAATAAAATCAATATTACAATTATAGAAAAGTTAGTTTTTTTCCATTCACCCGGCCGAAGATCGCACCCGGGACCTCAAATGGCGACACAATGAAAACTGGTGTGCAAGCCACTCACCACAGAGGTGTCAATTAAGTATTTACATCTAAAATTACGGTTACTATATTACCTACATAAATATTAATAAAAATACCCTCACTAGGTGCGTTCGAAGACGAGGACGTGACGCATGTGGATGGCGACGTGAACCCGGTACGAGATTTGGAAACCATCGGTGAAGAGCTCCGTTTGAAAGATGAGGAACAACTCATGAAGGATATAGAGAAACTAGATCGTGTCGTCAACCGTGGCGGTGACAAAAAACTGAAGCCTGAATACGTAAGTTCATAATTATAACCAGAATTGTTCACCTGAATACAAACTTTTGTATACAGGTGTACGGACAACGACACATCAGACTACACATTTTTGTTCGAAAAGCGCCTCCATTGCAAGAACAAGATACGTCAATGTGTAGCTTGATGTGTATACACAGTTTCGATTGATCGCGCACATTTTGAAAGGGAAGTTATTTTATCCGCGATATTTAAATAATTAATAATAACTTTTTTATAATACTGTAATTTCACCAGCACCTACTTACCCTTCGAAACCGGAACGCAGTAATGTTCACATTACTGCTTGGCGGCAGAAATAGGTAAGGTGGCAGTACTTCCCTGGACGAACTCTTTCACAAGGAGCTCTACTGATACTAGTGTGCTGTTTGTGGTTCAATCGCGGATAATGACGTTAGCGCTATTGTTACATTATAACCATTATCCAATAAACCAAAACAAAATGGCTGTTCTCGGCACCACTATTTAAATTGATTGATATTAACTGCCTGTGGAAATCAAATATTAAAATCGACATTCCAATTGCATAAGGCACAAAACAAGATATTATTGTGATTAGTCAAAAGAAATCCCAGTAACACTAACACAATACTGAAATAAATAATTAATTTTATGTTTGGATTGGAAGGGAAACCCTGTATCGCAGGTGTCATGGATACACATAGACAACCACAAATTACATCCAAAGTCAAGAGAGAAATAAATGTAAGCCATAGAAATATTTCTCTTAGCTCAAGAATCGAAACCGGGACCTTTGTGTGGCAGAGTAACATAACCGGTCGGCCACAGACAGTTAAATTTTAGTTAAACAAAATACTAACCAATAGATCTTAGCTATCTGAATAAATAACTTATATTAATGTTAACAGCCTGTATAATTTGATAAGGATTCTTGCCATTATGTTAATTTAAGACTTAATAATTATGTTTTAGTGCCGACGCAATATCGATTTCAATAAATTACTAGCGCTACAATTATATATTTTCTCTTGGTCAGGAGATGTGTAGTAATTAATTATCTATATCGTGTTTGTGGATAAATAGTTCAAATTTGTTTTATTTTCAGGAAACCTTAATGAAAATAAAAAGTGTACTAGTGGATGAAAAGAAACATATTCGCTTTGCCGACTGGAGTATGGCTGATGTAAGTTTTCCATTTTTTCGTAAGCACTTCTTTCTTTATGCTCTGGCCACACAGAGGTGGCCGCGGAAGCGTTCCAGTAACGCTTCGGCGGCCGCCTCTGTGTGGTCAGAGCATTATTGTACGACCTCATATGTCATATCTAATGTAGGTACAAAAAACTTCTTGTACAAAATTATCTGTTAACCGTCTTTTAGCATTCAATTTTTTTTTTTCAGATTGAAGTACTAAATAAATATTTGTTCTTGACATCAAAGCCAGCCATATACCTCGTTAATTTGTCCGAAAAAGATTACATGCGGAAGAAAAATAAGTGGTATAAGACCTTGTTATATACATACATATGTAATTAAAAGTTACACTTTTGTGCTACACTGCCCAACGTAATAATGTACCTATGTAATATGTAATTAAATCTGTAAAATCTTTAAAGCGAGACTCGTCATGCTTCCCCGAGGTATGCAAAACCACCGCGTCCAATTATGTGAACTGGGGGTCGATTCAGAACCTTACAATAAATCAGTTGTCGACCAATTCGATTTGATATCGTGCGATTTCTTTTCATTTTGATTCACAACAGCCGAATCGAACTTCAAACTATCGTATTCGATACCGAACCGAAATGACGTCACTCCCGTAACTCAAACTTCTCGACCAGGGAAGGCTACAACGTTATTCAGAACACAGTCGAATAAAAGTTACCGAACATCCTATTGTTTACAAAGCAAGAATTAATACTAAGTGACGGGATGGAAATCTCTGTTTATTTTAAATAAAGTTTGGATTTTGTTCAATTTTATTAATTTATTTTAATGCAAAACTAATGTATTCCTATAATTATTTTAGACTTTCAGTCTTAAAAATGTATATAAAAGGATTTTCATTTTACTACTAACTCGCTGTTGGATAACGATATTGTATCCGAATCCGAATCGAACGTTTAACGGAAAGCGCCCTTCGATTCGAGAACGATATCCAATTAACGATTTGATTAAAAATATCGAATAGTTCTGAATCGGGGTCCAGGTCGTTTGCATGCAAGTTACTTGCAAGAGGTATCATTGACTCGCGCTTGCTAAGCTGTACTATGTAGCAAAGACTCAAGGATTTGTATGTCCAAGTGAATAATACAGAGAATAAAAAATCAAAACCGTACTTCTCAGGCTGCCAAAATTAAAGGAATGGATTGATAAGAACGATCCTGGTGCGCCACTTATTCCATTCTCGGGGGTGTTAGAAACCAAACTAATGGAAATGGACCCTGAAGAACGCAAAGCTTTCTTGAAGGAACATAACATTACAAGGTGAGCATGGATAGAGTATCTATGTTAGAAATACTAACTTGTACCTGCTAGTTACTTGTGAACGAGAATCCCCCTAGAAACTAACCAATATCACCTAATCTGCCCACGGAACGAAAAAGGGCACAAAATGTAGTTTAATAAAATAATTACTTCATATTTTTAGTGCATTAGATAAAATCATCATAACTGGATACAAGGCGCTTCAACTCGAGTACTTCTTCACGGCAGGTCCGGATGAAGTGAAAGCATGGACGATTCAGGTAATAAATAAGTTTATAAGGGTCGTATTCTAGAACTCTACTCAATGCTCAAGTCAGAATTTGAGTATGATTTAAAGCACTAGAAATCATACCCAAGTCCTTGCCATTAGGGTCGTATTTCCAGTGCTTGAAATCATACTCAAATCTGCTCAAATCCTGACTTGAGTTCTGGAATATGACCCTTAGGGTCGTATTTTAGAACTCTATTCAATGCTCAAGTCGGATTGCACTGGCAACACAAGCACTGGAAATACGACCCTAATGGCTGGGACTTGAGTATGATTTCTAGTGCTTTGAATCATACTCAAGTCCTGACTTAAGCATTGAGTAGAGTTCTAGAATACGACCCTAAGAGGGCTATCCCGAAAGTAGATTACGTTTTGATGTATAAAAAAACTGAATACAAGAAAAATATTATCATACATTTGAAAGTGACACTTGTATACAACTTTTCGACATAGTCTCCGTATGGAGACTATCTGTATAGATTAAGGCACTTCACACAGCAGCGAACAAGATTTCAAATTCCAGCGTCATACAATTCTACCACCTGAGACTTTATCCAGTTAGTAACGCTCTCCCGCAGTTTCGCGTCGACGTCAAAACGCTGCGTCGCACATTTTAAAACTTAATGCTGCATTGACGCACTTCACATCACATTATTCCCATAAACGTCACGGAGTTTACGATAAATCTCAATCGGTTTATTATTTTTGGCCAAAAAAACCGTATTACCGACCGCTTTTCACAACACGCGGGATTGAACGACTGCACACTCTTGATCCCAAGATGGATGCGCTAGTATCACCCCTAGCGACTAAAGAGCTAGCGATTACGTATACGGGCCACTTACCCGAGGCATTAGCCTCTTGCGAATCTGATAAAGTCCGTGACAACAGTCTGTGACTAACCTGCCCACGGGCTGCTCTGGGGTCAGAACTTGAATTTATAAGGTCTCTGTGCTTCCACAGGTTATAGTGTCCTTCCCGTATACTTAACGGATCGGTAGGGAGGTAGGGAGGGTCACTATAAACAAAACTTTTATAGAAATATGTCTTCAAAATTGAATAATAATTTTCAGAAAGGAACAAAAGCACCTCAAGCCGCTGGCAGGATCCACACGGACTTCGAGAAGGGCTTCATCATGGCCGAAGTAATGCATTTCAAAGACTTCAAGGAAGAGGGCTCGGAAGCGGCCTGCAAAGCGGCGGGAAAGTACAGGCAGCAAGGTAAAATATGAAATTCTGCAGTACATAGAATGCATAAGAAGAGTGGATAGGTACCCGCTCTATATACTTTTACTGCACAGATCGGACATTATCATTTTGTAATTTATCATCAATGGTCGGAAAAAGGTGTTCCACATATATAGATACAAGTATAGACATAGCTACAAGGAGCTACATAGAGTTGTTAAAACCACCAAATATTAATTGATTATTTTTTCGAATTCTGGATATTTGATTTCAACTATTTAATTTTATATTTCTAATTAAATTCTATGTTTTTTGAAAACATATTCATAGGAAACATAACATAGTGAACATAATTCACTAATCAATTAAATGTTTACCTTATGAATTTAGGGAGCAGGTTAATATTAGACATTTTAATGGTTTTAGAAATTTTTCAATAATTTTCTTATATAACTGCCTCCGTGACCGAACTGTTACCATGCTGGTCTGCCACGCAGAGGCCCCGGGTTCGATTCCCGGGCCGGGGAAAATTTCCATGGCCTACATTTATTTCTCTCGTGAGTTTGGGTGTAATTTTTGGTTGTCTATGTGAATGTCCATGGCTCCCGCGATACAGGGTTTCCCTAGTGCGGGGCTATAAGAGTGTGCGTTTATAATTGTCTGTTTCCGTAAAACTGTAATAACTCCGAAGCTTGGACTTTACAAAATACAATAGAAAAATATACAGTACATTAGCTACTTATCAGTGGAGTCATCACTGTAAACGCATATTTTAAACTGTTTTTGAACACATCATTCATTATCGTTTACCATCAAGTATATAACCAGAAATAGAGACGAAATAAGGGCCATCCATCCCTGGCAACTCATCAGTCAAATGGGCCTTATATCACTTTTAAATGTCAACTCTCGTTTGCACTGAAATCACAAATTAGAAAGCTGAAATAGTACAGCGCCAACAACTGACCTGTGTGTACGTCTCCAATAATATTCTGTATTTATTGTAATAAAGATAATAATCTCTAACTATGGAGGGCTGTTCCATTCGGAGGTGTGGGAAAAACAGCAAAACATCTAATTACAAAACAAACAGAATAACATTTCATCGGTAATTAAATATGTAATTTTTCAATTTACGTCCATTATAGCAAAGCTCAAGTTAAACTGGTCGTTTTGAAGTGAAACAATTGACGACTCCCGTCAATTGTTTCGAATTCGGGCTGACTAATCGGAGCGCAATTATCACCATAATGATATGGCAGGATAGTTTTCAAACAAATTAATAGTTGTTTATGTGACTATTACATAATGAAAGGCATTAAAACACGAGTGTTGGTTTATGAAACGAGCCGACAGACGAGTTTCATAAAAACATTTCACGAGTGTTTTAATGCCTAGTTATGTACGGTTACATACACTGCCTTATCTACACACATATTATAAGCTCTCTGTCTGATGTTCGGGAACCGCATGGTACGACTGGCTAAATGGCGGCAAATAAAAACTTTTCTCACGCATGTCACATAACCGTAGTTGTTATTTTTAATTCATAGACAAACTAGAATCGGCCTCAACTATCATATCGTTCGATATCAAGTAACGTGAGAAAATGTCAAAAGTTGACAGAATTGACATTTCATTCCGAATAAAATTTCATCTCGACTAATATTAGTTTTTTCCATCCTCGGAGGATATTAGAATTGAGGTCCAATCAAATTCTTTTGTTTTTCAGAGATGTTCGAAATTTAAATGTAATAATAAAATCGAATTCGATACTGTTCGAATAATGTGTTCGAAGCATTGACTTACAAATAAATGGACGACGGGTCTAATACAAACACCACGGAAAAAATGTCCCAAGTCAACCTATTCGAAATTTAAATTGTAATGTCATCGCAGTATCGCGCTGTCAGTAGAACAAATGAAGACTAAAGCGGAGTTTGGCGCTCTGTATACGATTTTAGCGCCTTACAAGTGCGGACACTTTTTAGCGCGGACCCGACGTCCATATAATTGTAAGTCAATGGTTCGAAGATATAATTTTCACAGAATTTTCACAGATAAGAAATTTGTTCTAACAAAACAGTTTATCTTTATGCTGGCCGTAATTTGCGATTTTTGAACATCATAGAGGGTTTATGATGTGTGTGTAAAGATAAATGAAATCTCTTCTCTATTTCTGGTTATATACTCGATATCGTTTACCAACACCTAATGTTACTATACTGGGTTATTTGTAAAATATTAACAGCCTTACAGGATTATATTACTAACATCATAAACAACAACTTTTGTTCAACGACTTAATAATTCGACAGACGTTACTTTCATGCAAAAATACAAATATATAAATATATTTATCGGCCAGGACGCTTGCACGTTTGAACTTACTACCTTACTAGCAAATACAGATCGAAAAAGTGTCAGGTAGTGCAACAAAAACTTAAAAGTTGTAAAAAGTCATGGTACAAATACCTAGGGATTTTGTTAAAGATTTTACAAATAACCCTGTCTGTATACAAAAACATATCTCTATATAGAGAATAGCCCCTTAGATCTTTGTGATTTAAAGCTCTGAGTGGCACTGCAATTGTTAGGGACAGGCGTGTCGCTTACCACCAGGCATGTGACTTGTTCGTCCCGTCACTTATTATTACTATAAAAAAACCATACAAGTACTCGTATTATGAATACACTGAGCTTCATGAAATTTGCACTTTACTATTACACAATTGTAATTGACAATACTTTTTGATTAGTGCCCAGCCAATTTCCAAAAAGACTTATGTACAACTTTAAAGTGTGTCTATTGAAATTATTCTAAAATCACTAATCATTTTAGAAGCGTTATTCACTTAATTCTAAAGAAAATCTTTATTTTGATGACCTCCGTGTTCGCGCGGCGTGTATACCGGTTTTTCATGGTGTCGCCATCTCAGAGGTTCCGGATTCGATTCTCTGCCAGATCAATGATCAGAAAAACTAACTCTTCTATATTGTCTCGAGTTCTTAGTGTGTGTGGTACCGTCGTTTGTATCAAGTGCTTTGGTTATATGTGATATAATAGAATAGAATATACATTCATTGCAAAGCCACAACACATAAATACAAAAATATATTGAAAACACTAGACAAACGAAACAAAATAGAAAGAATTAATAAACAAAATAAAAAATACAAAAGAAAACAACATAAAAGACGAAAAGAGACAAAAGCAAAAACAAATAGAACGACTACAAATTGTACGGTTGTGGCGTCATTTGTGCGGTTGCATCGTACGTGAAAGGACTTCATTCTGCTTATGCCACGGCCATAATTCAATGTGGCGCTGTTTTGCAATTAGCCCTGATGATGATGATGATGTCTAATATTTATTTACAGGTAGAAATTACGTAGTTGAAGATGGAGATATCATCTTCTTCAAATTCAACGCGGGCGCAGGACTAAAGGACGCTAAGAAGAAATGACGTGACAAGGTACTTCTCCTTTTGGTGCATATGTTGTACCTGAACCTCGTTCTCTATACTCTATTACACGTCTCTTGAGCTAAGCTTAGAACTGTTTTTTATTTTATTTATAATTTCATTAAGTGATTCGCGTTGTAATGCTGTTTCTGATCTGTGTTGTAATTTAAAGAATGCTTAATGGGTAAAAATGTAAATGTTCTGTCTGTTTTTTAATAATAAATAATAATGTACAGTTATTCTAAGTCCGTTCACGTTCATGTTGTAGAAGTTAATTTACATATCACAATGGTTAAAGTATTGATTCGTTTGAGTTATCTTATGCATGTCACGTGATTTTTAAACCATATTAATGTTCAGGTTCCGTTCTCTATTTGCGCTCTTAATACATAATACATACATAGAATTACGTTCATATTTTTCTGATCAATCTATTGTGTACATAGCACATACATAGTACAAGCAAAGCTATTTAATCTTGTAGTTTTAAAGCCTTAGCCTATAAGTATTGTAATGATCCGAAACTCGCGTTATAACAACGGTCCATTACAACATGAAATAATAACTTAATCCTTTTTCTATAATTAATAATAAAGAATTAAATAAAACATTGTTAATGTTTGTATTGTTGAGTTTATTTATTTATATATACTTTAATAGAACCTATTTAATGCTTATGTGTATATACCTATAGTGTTTACATGATCATATCGGCAAACACCTGACCCGTTTCTTCCGTCTGTCTAACAAAATAATAATATATATTATAATCGCAGTACAGAGTACTAAAAAAAAAACCGATCTCAGAAGTTTGTGGAATTACATCTATTTGCCAAGTTTTATTGAAATCGGTTACCGGAAAGTGCGCGAAACCGGATTCATCTCCTAGTTCGCCACCGTAGAGGTGGAATATTTGCTTTAGATTTAAATGGGACCACTACTGAGGTACCCTCTTACCAACAAAAAAAGAATCGTCAAATCGGTTTACAAATCGCGTAACATACATACTAAAAGAACAGACGAATTGAGAACCTTCTCCTTTTTTTGAAGTCAGTTAAAAATAACGCCAGCGCCTATAACCCTCATATGGATAAATATTACCCAAAACAATTTCCTACAGCTACAGTCAACTACTTTAAAATTACAAGTAGATTCTTGCCGGTCTTTCCTATCGTGAAGCCCTATTCCAACATACACATGATTTCCACATGTATGGCAGAATGTAACTTTCGAGTTTTCATACAACTTTGATCACGGTATTTGCGAGTCTATTAAGTAACATGGAACCCTCTATTCGCCCGGCAAGAGGAAACCTATTTTATTTACCTATTTTAAGTCGGATGAAAGAAATGTAGAAACATAGGTGGCAGAATTCATAACGTATAACTAGTGCGACAGATGCGTAAACAGAACATAAAGCATTTGAAACAAAGATATCTAATCTGCCCGTGTTAACACAATAATTATACCTTTTTAAAAAAAAATAAAAAATAAACCAACTTGAAAAGTTTGTGGAATTACTCTATTTACCAAGTTTTATTGAAAACGGTTAATGAAAAGTGGTTGAAATCCAATAAACCTGATTTATCTGCTAATTTGCTACCCTACTACTCTACTACTCTTTCCAATAAAAAAGAATCATCAAATCGGTTCAGAAATAATCGCGTAACACGGATAAAAAAAATAGCGTCGAATTGAGAACCTCTTTATTTTAAGTCGGTTAAAAATAAGTTATTTTTTATTAAAACAGATAACGAAGAAAGAGAGAAATATTTGAATATGCTATTGTTTATTGTATAATAAAGAGAATTTCTTTGTTTGCTTTTCCGTGGCCGTTGCTTTACAGGGATACAGTGTATGTAACGTAAAAGTACATTAAACAGCAATACAATATAAAAAAAATTTGTTAAATAAGTAAATAGAAGTACTACACTATAGTGTTGGAACGATCCTGTAAAACTGGCTGGTATGTACGAAATAAATAAATATTAATATCCACCGTGTCGTCACTTAACGATTATATCACTTCAACAAACTCTTCAATTCTTGTTACCCTGTTTTCGACATCTTTCTCACCTCTAGCTTCCACAAACAATTTATCAAGTAGCACACGAATTTGCTTCAAAAATCTCTTCAAGTTGATATGTGATAATATTCCCTGCTCGGTGACGGGTGCTAGTTTCTCTTTGTCTTTCTCAGATTTTTGGAATACGTTATTTAAAATATAAGTTAAAGCCTGAGTTACTGCTTCTTCCCAGTCCTAAAAAGAAAGTTAGTGATTTATTTAGTTTTCCATAATGATACACATTGACGGGACGACCAAATTATCCTTGTCTTAAGCGACACGCCTATCCATAACAATTGCAGTGCCACTTAAAGCTTTAAATCGCAAATATCTGAGGGGCACTGCCGCTGCGCCCGTCACCCTGAGACGTAAGTTGAAAAGTCCCATGTGCCTGTAATTTACCTTACCGAAAATTTGGCGGCAGAAATAGGTAAGGTGGCAGTACTTCCCTGGACGAACTCTTTTACAAGGTGCTCGAATTTATGTATAAGGGTGTTAAATCTCAGCGCATCAACTTTCCCACAGCTTTACACACTCCCTGTCTTGTCCTTACGTGAATTAGTCCTTTTCACTTAGAGCTAGTGATTTAACAATCTATTCCGGGAGTGATATGAGGTATTAAAGACTTACCTGATAATCATCATATAGAGTTCCCAAAGTAAGCATTTCCTCTATAAGTTTCACTTTAAAATCATCTTTTATTTTTTTTCTGAATATAAACACTAAAAGCTGTCCAATCGCTGCTAACCTGTTCCCAGCTCTATATGGAAATACAATGTACAAATTGTTAGTAACTTGTTAGAAGTAGTAATTGTATTACACCAAGGATATAGAGAATATACAGACGATTATTTGCGCAAATGGAAGCAATATAATATGCAAAGCTACAGAGTATTTAAAGACTTTTTTACAACTATTTTACATTGCAATGCTCACTTCCTCGTAGTATTTCTGCAGTTTATAATTTCGTGTACGCATTTGATAAGGCGTTGTTGTGTGTCCTTCAGTAGGAACTCGAGCGGATCGCAGTCACCAGGCGGCAGAGCTCCGTATTGAACTAACAGTTTCTTTTGGATCAATGTGAATTGTCTCTGGAGCACACGTAATTCTTCCTGAAAAGATTCTTTACATTTCATTTGACTTTACTTCTATTACTACAAAGGTAGTGAGCTGCCAACGATATTTTTCCTTATTTTTGCTAATACACTCACTATAATATTTAGCTATACAAGAAAATAGAATATAAAATATTATAGTTTATATTTCAATAAATAAGAATTAGAGATAAAGCAGCAATTAACGGCCTTTAACATTAACTTGTACAGCCTTAGGTAATATAAAAAAAATCAAAATTACTTAAACGAAATGCATTTTTTATGTTTAAAAACAGATAAGCACTTAAATCAGAAACAGTTGAAAATGTATAAATTGTAACTGTTTAGCATTGATTAAATCAAACTTTAATAATTAAAAAACATTTTCAACTAAAGTTTACGAAATTTACAAGAACGCAAACTCAACCTTGAACCACTCGACAACGCTGTATTAGTAAAATAATCTCGGTACAGAGTACTAAAAAAACCGACCTCAAAAGTACGTGGAATTACATATAAATACCATGTTTTATTGAAATCGGTTACCGAGTAGTGCGCAAACCCGGATTCATCCCCTAGTTTGCCACTAAAATATAATAAAAATCGATTCTCACTTCTCAAAGTATATCGAGAGAGAAAAACGCCTTGAATTGGAGAATAGCAAAATGAACCATTAAAATAATTGCTGCTTATAATAAAATTTAGGCGCTATTTATAAAAATGAATGTTCATATGTGAACAGCCACCCTTAGAGGTGGATGATTTTCTTCAAAATTAAATGGTGGTCCCATTCCTATGGAGATCCTCTTTCCAAAAAAAAAAGAATCCTGAAAATCGGTTCACAAATACCGGAGTTATCGCGTAGCATACATACAAAAAAAAATACAGTCGAATTGAAAAATCTCCTCCTTTTTTGAAGTCGGTTAAAAAATGACAATCAAATAATTTTTTATTTTCAATTAAACTTAAAATAAAAAAGTAACCGATCAGACTTTTAAAAGAACACTGAGACTACTAGTGTTCTGCTAAATGTACCGGATTATTTTACATAACAAAATCTCATACAACAGACATGTGGTAGACAGATGGTGTGCCTAGTATATTGATTGGGCGCAGTGCAAAGGGCGGCCATTCTATGTATTAGGAAAATAATACCTCTCCATCATGTTTATCGTATTTCAAAGCAAAAGTTTTAATTACCTCTAAACTATTCAGCTTATTCCTCTCCTTCGCGTGACCTTCGATACTTTTCAAAAACCTATGCGTTATTTGTTTAGCCATTTCTACATCTATTGTCACATTAAAACGAAAATCGTTTAGGTTCTTTCGAGCATTATGTTCATTTAGTCTTGTTATTAAATTAAGTAACACAGAGGTAATGTCTGTTATATCATTGGCTTCAATTGAGTACTGCTTGTCTATAGCTTTCACAGTCACCGTTTTTTTCGTAGCTCGGTAGACGAATGTTATATCGTGTGACCTTCCATGTTTTAAGAGTTCTTCCTTAGTGAAGTCTAAAATTATAACAGTAACCAATTTATATACCTACTCCGCGCTTTATCTAAATGAAAAGCAAATTTCTATGAATGTTTGTGTTGTCTTACCTGTAAATATCTCGGTGATGTCAACAACAGATTGATTTGTTTCTACCAGTAATTTAAATTCATTATCAAAAACCTCTTCCGCTGGCGAACAATACAAACTAAGTGGCAATACAACTTCCCTAGTCAATACATTTATTTTTCCTTTCAAATCCGTTACAGTAAATGAAATTTTTACTCTTGAATTCGATATGTCAGATTCTGTAGATACGAATACTTGAGTTTCGATTATTTCTGTGCCATTGACAGTGTCCAAGCACAAGATAGTGTCCGAGCAAGTGAACGGTGGGCAGCAATCGTAAGTGATTTGTACACTGTGTATCGAGTTCGGATCTTCGCAAGTAAGTATGACGACGACTGGGCACATTAGTAAATATAACGCTTCGTCAGTATCCTTTGCGAATTGCTCAAAAAGGTTCTGAACTGGTTTTCCTACGTCTGCCTTTATCTTGATTATTTGTTCGACTGAAGGATACTGGCTGTCTGCATCTGCAATAGATTTCAATACCAGTCTCAAATTTACATCAATTATATTTTAGTAACCGGCCCTAAATGCTTATAAATAATAATAAAAACTTCTTGACATCTGTTATTGTATGTATTACCAACCTTCATTTCCGTCCAGCACTTTCTGTAGCGTTTCCTCAACCATCTCCAGTTCTGTCTGCACTTGTTCAGGGTCAATATTATCATTTACCATCGATGGAGTATTTGCGTTCAAATCAGGTTCAGTGCCTAAGTAGCTAACACAAATCACACCACTGGCAGACAGAGTTGCCAAACCACCAGGCAAGTATTTTAGAAAACATCGAGATATCGCGATTGCCTGGTGAAGCAAATTACATGACCACAGTAATGTGGTACCTTCGTAAATGTAGAGCTTTGAATCTTCTGATGCTACCATGACCAGAAGTCGTGCTGTGGGCTCTGAAAAATGGATCCATCTCTTTATAAATAAACCGAGAGATACCGATACATGCAGTGCTTATTAGATACTGATACCTACCGTAATACCAACCTATAAGATACGCGGAAAAACACATAGGCATAAAATCGAATTTTATCGTGTATTTCATAAGACCGTTATCCTGAAAACAGCACAGATGCCTCTCCCCTAGTGCTATTACGCTGGACATATTACTGCTTGTCTGGAAAAAATAAATTAAATGTATGAAGTAACTATAGGTAGGTGGTACCTATAGTTGGCTAAATATTATTTGCACCGATTCGTCTTTTCGCTTCATCTTTAGAATACAATATGACAAAAGTGTGAGCCGTCTCGGTAACGCACACACTCAACATAACGCACACACTCAACATAGCCCCGCACTAGGGAAACCCTGTGTCGCGGGTGCCATGGACACACATAGACAACCACAAATTACACCCAAACTCACGAGAGAAATAAATGTAGGCCATACAAATACTTCTCCCGGCCCGGGAATCGAACCCGGGACCTCTGCGTGGCAGTCCGGCATGGCAACCGTTCGGCCACAGAGGCAGTTTAAACGTGCCATCTGTATAGTGCCAAAAAACAATTAGTTTTAACTAACACTTTTACGCATTACCTCTTAATTCTAAACTTGACAATCTGCGGAACGAATTTTGTTGAATTAGTAAAAGAAAAGTCGGCAGTCGATATTTTACGAAGTAGTTACAGGCTTAAAAAAACGTACTGATGAATAAAGAAATATCCAAAACTAGAATTTAGAAAAAGCTTTTTACGCACCCATGACTCGTACGATGGCCCAAGATCATTAAGTCCATGTACGCTTTGAGTAAAAGAAGTGTTCATGATTTTACTACTATATTGTAATAAAAAAAAATAAGCCGTTCCAAGAGATAACTAACATTAATAATATATTTACAAAAATAATATTTCTTCAACTACAACTACATAGGTATGTGTTATTCTTATTTGGTACCGAATTTAACTTGCTCATACCTATGAAATTTGTTATTTCTTACCTGAATAACCTGTACTGACGATATTTCCTCGCCAGCATTATACATCCATTGAGGTATGTTCTTCTTGTTTTGTCTAGCATTTAGTTCGCTGAACTCTCTTAGCTGTTGGTAACTGAATAGAAAACACATTTGTTCCTAATTGTAAAATTTTATTGCATTTAATTAGGACTTATCGAGTTCTTTGGTTTTCGCGATTATTACACATTGGAAATGAAGCTATTTGTTCTGATCTAAATCGCGTAAGTTTGTTTTTTCAATGACAGGTCCTATAGTCTATCAGTCAGCCGTGGCCATAGGACATGCAAAGGGCCCGAAACGTTGCTTTGTTTGAAAAACAAATATACTCGATTTAGATTCGAGAAAAGATAGTTTCATTTCCAATTAGTTGATATTATATATTAGTTTATACGGAGCTGGTAACGCAATCTTGAATAATAATACAAACAAGACACAAAAATATCCACCATTGGAATTCAAGTGCAAAGGAAATATCACGCATGCAAATAAACATAACATAAACATAGTAAACTTTTGTTGACCTGCTTTACCTACCTGTGTATTTCTATTACCCACGTCGACTTGCAGATCACAAAAGAATCACTATTAGCCACATAACAGATCGGTCCTGGTATTATTACATCGTCGAATATGAATAAAAATAAAAACGTCTTCTGGTCAAAGAAACTTAAGCTTCCATCTAAGGCTTGAATGCATATAAAATCCCTCGTTTTTATATTACCAAATGGACCACATGTTACGCTATGCGCTTTTCTGGTGAAAGAGTGTTTTACGGCAGGCTGAAGTATGTTCTGTTCTCCTGTAGTGAAAGAGTATTTTGTAATACCAAATTACATATACCTACTTATACTTAGTAATAGGTACTATGCCGATAGTTAGGTATGCCAGATTAAAAACGTGCAGCAGCTCCATTAGTGTCAAAACGATAATACGATGTATTACAGGGGTAAGTATAATAACATCATCCTCAATTTGAATGTCCCCAATTGAAATATATTTTTGGCAAGATAGTTGGTATGTAGGTACATCAGCCTATAACTAAGATTCTAATCGGCGGAAACGTGGTCGCCCTAAAAGAGGTCATCAGAAAGGCATATCGTACCACACTAATGAAAAAGAACATAAAGCAACATCAGAATTACCAGCGACTATATGACCCTCCTTTCTGTATAACTGATATATTGCGTAGCTTTGAGGATGCAACACCAAGATATATCGGTCCGTTGAATCTCTGAAAGGAATTCTTTTTTCAGTTCGAAATATGCAACGCAATTTATCTAATTAACCAGCTAGATACAATCAAATGATCCAACCATCCAACTTAATAATATCTCGATTAGTTTAATTACTTATTTAATGATCCAAGTACATTTCAAGCTTAAAGTTTCTTTTAAACACTCGATTAATTAGGCAAGCTAACACCTATCACAGTGGTGCCTGAAAATATGGCTACATAAATTCGCTGTCTAGAGGGACACGGTGCAGGATAATTGTCCGAAAAATTTGAATTAGCGGCAAATTATTTCAGAAAAGAATACCTACATTTTTATATTATATTATTATAGATATTTTTCCAACACCTCAATGTTTAAGTACCTAATACAATAGGTATTATTTTTCTGTGATGTAACTTACACTATAAACTTTCCCGTTTCTATTTGCAGTATTGTAACTCCTAGATCAATCTCCATCAGCGAATGGGATGCGTCATGATCTCTATTAGGTTTGTATATTTTCAGTATATTCGCCTCACCGACTATAAGGCAATCACTATCACTATGAACGTTGAATTTATCTACTTTAAAACATGTACCATTATTTAAACCTTCATTAAATTCTACGCCTTCAGATTTGTCGTTAGACCACCATTGTTTTACTTTGAAAATCGACATTTCACTACCACTACACAATTACAAATAATGACGAACATTGTCTTTTCTAAAGTAGACAAAAGGTTGCTAAGTTTGTGTGGACGGTTGCCGTAGTAACTCGAGGCAAAATAAAATACGACAGCTGGCCTATGTCGAAGGCAGACTGGGCTAAGTAAGACTACAATTACATTAGTTGAGAATTTTAATTATTAATACAAAGTTCGATCACAAAGAACAATTCATTCGAACTGACCTGGGATCGAAGCTACGTCTATGAAAGCGGCGGCACCCTGGTTTGGCAATAATAACTTTCATAAGAAACTAGTGGAGTAGTTTCACAAAAAATAAATGAATAAGTAAGTAATATCATGGTAGTAAAATACCATATTATTAATATTCAATTTCAATACAATCATGAATGTATTCATACAAAATCATGAGAATTTTAGTAGGTATAAGGAGTAAATATCATATTTATTACATTAATTTGCTTATGTGAAGAAACCAGCATGTCGAAACGGAGGTTTATAAAAATTTATCGTAAATAAACGTATATGTATAATAAGTAAGTATCATCGGATCAGCGTGAGTCACGCCAATTTTGACAACAAAAGCGACATTTTATTTCTATTATAAAAAATAAATTTAAAAAATGTTTGTTTTGTTTTGTCGATGTTTAGAAATGTAAAAATTAAACACTACATTAAGTATAAGTTAAACATGTTAAATATACATTTATAGCTATGGAAGAGCGGTGATTCCTGACACAGGCTTGATAAGCTTATACCATCCACTGTTAAAGTTAATTGTATTACTGAAATAAACATTTTCTTTATTTATTATTGCGACAAAAAAATGTTGCTACTTTTTGGCGCATTTTTAGTATTTTTAGCTAAGTTGCAACTATTAACATTAATTTCTTATGATTTCATCTTATATATTTTCTACTCAGTGATATTGATCTTTAAATTGGAAGTTTTATCAGGACAATGTCGCAGGCCTGCGACTGACATCTCGGGTACTAGTTTGGGTAACTAGTAAAGGATAAGCTAGATATCCTTTGGTCTATTCAGTCGCCTAGGAATAATGGGAATTGCTAGTTGTGCAATGCACAACGGGAAGTGAGCGTGCCAACAACTCCGGTACCTATCTCGAAAATAGGGAGGGTAGGTACTGTTTTGAGTACCGGATTAATTCCGTGACAACCCTATCACGGGTTGATCTGTGGTCAGGATTTGAACTTATACGTTCCCGGTGTGGGCTTGCATGCACAGGTTATAATAAGCACTACAACTTCCCGTATAACCAAGAGATTCATAGAGAGGGGCACTATATCAAAAATGTGTGAGCTTGAATGCACATGTTATAATAAGCACTATAACTTCCCGTATAACCAAGAGATTAATAGAGAGGGGCACTATATCAAAAGTGAAGTAGAAAGATATGGGCCGGTCTTTTATTTGCTATGATCATAAAGCCTTTGCCAATGAAATGAACCCCATGACTAGCAAAGTGTACATTTTTCGTATGGAGTGGAAACATTTATAGTTTTAGCGACAACTAGCTACTTTTAAGCCTTCTGTCCGGTAGAAGCAAACATCGGTGATGTTTGCTTTAGTCTAGTTGGCAACACTAAGCGTGACAGAGCATAGTGGATTCGCTCTGGGCCTTTTGGAGGGAAAAGTGTCGTTTTTATTTTGACTTTCAATTATTTTGTGAAATCTAGTTTAAAGTGGAATAGGATAGTGCTATTATGCCTTAATCGAAGATTAAAACGCGAAATCATACGAATCTCGAACTAAAATACCCGTATCGGCTCGTTCTAAAGAATCCCGAGTAAATCCAAGCACGCCGCCTCAAATTGCCTATACTCTTTGTGGCGGCCATATTTACAGAAACACTTATTTTTATGTTTTCGGCTGAAGGACTTTGTTTCCATGGCCAGCAAAAAAATTAATAAAAAACAATAAAACCATTTTGTCTATGATTGTTTTTCGCTTTGCTTTGCTTCTGTTCTGTATCATCATTCGTTGTTGTGGTGATTTTACAGGTAATACACGTGTAATTGAAATTATCTCTGCGAAAAGAACAAAGGGTTTTGAACTTTTGTATTTTACGTAGCTATTTACGTTTACCAAAAGGTGATTGTATTTGTGCTTTGGTGTCCAGTGAAAATGTCTGAAAATCTAGAAAACGGTGATAGTGCCGACATGGGAGAGAACGAACAAAGACCAAATGGCGGTGGTGATGAAGGGGACGCATGGGGCAATCAAGGGTCCTCGGTGCGTCGCTTCGCAAGAATGCCAGTGGATAGAAATGCTCCATACTACAACATGAGTCATAAACAACGCGGTATGGCAGTTATTTTCAACCACGAGCATTTCGACATTCACAGCTTGAAACCTCGCACAGGTACTCACGTAGACTGCGATAATCTAGCGAAGGTTCTGAAGAACCTCGGATTCCGCGTGACGGTTCTCAACAATCTAAAGGCTAAAGATGTTAACAAGTATATACAACAGACGGCTGAGATGGACCACTCTGATTACGACTGCTTGCTAATCGCGGTGCTGACTCACGGTGAGATGGGCTTGCTGTACGCTAAAGATACTCATTATAAGCCAGACAACTTGTGGTATTATTTCACAGCCGATAAGTGCCCTTCTCTTGCTGGTAAACCCAAGATGTTTTTCATTCAGGCCTGTCAGGGGGATAAACTGGATGGCGGTATAACCCTGAGTAATCGAACTGAGACTGATGGTTGTCCATCTTCAACATATAGGATTCCAATACATGCTGATTTCCTCATTGTGTTCTCTACTGTGCCAGGGTTTTACTCTTGGAGGAATACTACACGAGGATCTTGGTTTATGCAAGCACTCTGTGAGGAACTTCGCTTCTATGGTGCAGAACGAGACATTCTCACATTATTAACATTTGTGTGTCAAAAAGTAGCTTTAGATTTTGAATCTAACACTCCAGACACGCAAGCTATGCACCAGCAGAAACAAGTACCTTGTATCACTAGCATGCTCACTCGTCTTCTTGTTTTTGGAAAGAAATAATCATGTAGTAGAATATTTGGGTTCTCTATACTTAGATAGCTATAAAACCTTTTGAAATTAGATTTTGTTAGTCAAGATACAATAGGTAAATATGTGGCTGTTTTCAATATTGAAGATTTTAAAATGCCATAGGACTATTTAATAATAATAGATTATTGGGTGTTGAATATTTACATTTTAGTGATTTTCATAGTGTTTACTTATTTAAAATAGTATACAGAACAAAGATTTATACTACTACATTGATATTTTTTAGCAAATAGTTTTTTAAGATGTGGTTATGAAATCTCATACTTAGTTTGAAAAGCAAAGCACAACTTTTTTAATTATGATAGCTGTGTAATGTTATTAATGTTTCAAAATATTGTGTCATAACTCAATTAGCTTCTAAATTTATGAGTATGTAAAATTATGAAGTACTTAATTTGAAATTTTCCTTCAAAATTGGGAACTGATTTTACTATCTTTTAGCATTTTTTATGTGTGCTTAATTATTTACTTTTTACTTATTTAGTCCTAACTTGTCTATGCAAACAGAACAATACTGTTTTAGTACAATCGTTCATGTATTTTAAATTCAAATAAATAGAAATCTTGAACAATTTAGTACCTTTTATTGTATTAAATTAAAATTACTCAATTTTTTTTACATAATTTATTTTAATGTAGAATTCCTTGCAATTTAGTTCTTTTTTTCAATTAAGATAGAAAATTCTTATTTGAATTTCATAAGAATTAAACAATGTTCCTTTGTTGTTGAATTAAAAAAAAATAGCATTACTTTGTAATACTAAAATTAAAAGTACATACTTAATTGTAACAGTACACTAGTTACTGAATAAGGTCACTTTTACATTCTATAAATTGATAGTCTGTAAGTGTTTCTATCTCTTCATAGCATTTATTTAGTAATATGTTATTATGTATACAACCTGCCATGAACAGAATACATTGGCATTAGTGCCTGTTGTTTTCATCTGCTCAATTTCGTTGTAACTTCAAAATATCCATGTCAAACTATCTTGGCTTGGTGCTCATAGATTTTGATACCTTGTGTTTGCAACATTTTTGTTTTAATTATGTACCAGGGAGCTCAGTATTAGATTGACTGGTTTGTGATAATAGTACTGACAGATTCTAAATTAGGCTAGAGGATTATAGGATATGTGAGGAGCGCAGATGTGATAAACAATGATTATTAATAGTAATGTTGGAAAGTTGTGCCTTCAAAGTGTTCTCAGGAGTACATTATCAGTATAAAGAGGAGTGTTTGCCTCCTCCTAGGTTTTGGATTGAAAGAAATGATGTATTTTGTTAACAAACTTATTTTTGTACTGTTTGTAAGCAATAAAATATGGTATCTTATGAATATGCTGATTTTATTTATAGTTTTCCTGTTCTGAAAGTAATACAACACTGTGCATATATAAACATAAATAATAAGTATTGTTTTGGCTTATATTATTAACAAGAATTGAGTCCATATGCTTTTTCCCTAAGCTCCCAACACTGATCCCAGAATTGACTGAGCCGCTGTTCTTGATTGGCACAGAAATGTTTGAAGTCTCTTAACATCCTCATTTGGAATGCCTCATCACCTGTAGCTGGTATCTGGGATGATTTCCACTTTTTGGATATCATGTGGTTCCAGGACCATAGGAAGCCCATCTAGAAAAAATAATTATGCAAAATTATATTAGAAAAAAATTGCACATTTATTGGAAGGAACTACTGCAGATCTGCTACAACAAAAATGTATTACAATAATGTCATCTAACTGGGCAAGGGATGACTTTCTGGGAACTTTATTATTTAAATTAATAATTAAAAGATCAATTTTGCGTAAATTAATAACTTGTTTTCGTTGGGTTGGGGTATGTCAGCGCCCTAATTGATTGCGGTGTGACACGGCCACAACGTACCCGTCTGCTGTTATCGTAGTCATCCTTGTTTTTACCGCTAACGTGTCGTGTGATGTAAGCTTCGTGCGGACTGGGAGCTGCTTCGGAATGTACAGGATATCTGTAAAGAAAAGTATGTATTTAAGTACTTAATTTTCACACTGTGACCAAGTAGAGATTTTCAGAAAGGGATAATATTTGAATAAAAATTGATCTATGGTAATGTGCACTTTTTGAAATCATCGATATTTTTCTATGTTTGATATTTATATTAATTGTTCAATCTATACCTATTAGTTGATCTACAGATAAACTATAAATGAACTGCATTGAAGGTAATAATGGGTTTTTCAACAAGAACTTTGTTTTGTAAATCAAAATAAAACAATAAATTTAGATGACAATGATTCAAATTTTTATTGTATTAAAAAAGTGAGGTTTGACAATTATGAATGAAAAATGATATCTGATAAACGTCCGCCACGACCACAGTTACAGATGTCGATTCTTTCATCAAAGCTTTTAATCACTTTTTGACAAAATGGGTCTATTTCGTTAATCACTTCACGAATTTTGAGTTTCAAGGCTGTGTGATTCTGTTTTTAACATAACCCCATAAAAAATAATACAGCGATGTTAAATCACATGATCGAGCTGGCCACTTAACGGCAGAATTTCGTGAAATTATGTGATCGGGAAATTTTGTTTGCAATAAATTAATTGTTTCGGTGGCTGTGTGAGTTATGGCACCGTCTTGTTGAAACCACATGTTAGTGATATCCATATCGCCAATAATAAGCCAAAATTCAGTTGTTAACATCTCTCGATAGCGTATTCCATTGACCGTAACCGCTTTTCCAGCTGAATTTTCGAAAAAAAAACGGCCCATGCCAACGGCACAAGTTTTCACACTGATGTGAAATTGATCGTTTCACAATCCTACTAAAGTTGCTCGCAATTTATTTTAGTTATAGCTTTACTATTTTGTTTGGAATTTAATCTATTTATTTTTAGACAAAACAATATTGCTTGGTGGTCTGTGACTGCGGTTTCGAGAAACAGAGAAAATGACGTAAATTTAGTATGACATGATCTAAACAGCTATATGCGCGGGTTGGAATATCATAAGCGGGAAGCAAGCCATAAAAGGCAGTGTATCTAAATAATTTGAAGTTGAGTTGCAAACATCTATCAGATTTATATTAATGTTATCAACAAGTATTAGGGGTTAAAGTATGAAATTGCCGTTTTATTGCAATAGGTTCT